CAAGGTGTTGATTAGGTACTAATGGTTACTATTGGTTACTGATGAGCAACTTACAAGGTGTTGATTAGGTACTGATGGTTACTATTGGTTACTGAATATTTATACAATATTAGTGATGAAATCATGACTGCAGACAAGTCTACCATTGAACATTTCTATATCGTGTGGTATGTACGATGTTGCTTTTGTTATGAACAAAAAGAATACACCGTTAACTTTAGTCAATAGCTAGTACGCATGCGCTCCGCATCAAAAGCGAGGAATTCCTGTTCTTCGTCATACAGTTCACCACTGACCAAGGTAAAGTTTATCTAAAAACGTGCTGAAAACTGATTAAAAGATACTGTTTATGTGTCTGTCAAAAATGCAAATGAAAATAAAAACATTGGTGCAAAATTAACACCACTGTTCTTATGAAGAATGAATGGAAAAAAGCCACGTGCATTTGATGTTAGTGGCTTAGGCCCTGCACATGGGAGGATGATGATCCTACGGATAGAATCTTACTTGCAGGCAAATCAATCTACCGACTTTATATTTATTGCTTTCTGTTTACATACACATTGGCAGGCTTCTTTCTGGTACTAGGATCTTCCTAGCAGTAGAATCTTCCTGTCTCGCAGACAGGAAGATCCTAGTACTAGGAYTGTGTTTGACTCTAGCAAAACACATGTAAACGAAAAAAGAGAGATAACTCGCCTACTAAGGGCTAAGAGATATTTATCTTGGGACTTCTGTGGTGTGAATGTGAATAATTACGGTCCTTTCAATTCGTGTCGTTCTCATGTAAACTAAACGCAAAAGTTATTTCGCCTGCAAGGAAGATCCAACCAGATGGATCATCCTCCTCCCATGTAAACAGGGACTTAATCACGCCGAGTGCGTAGCACGATAAATGCAAATGCTATTTTCATGATATAATTAATTCTTCGAGACCAAATGCGGTATTTCCTTTTAATAATACGTCTACTTAAAATAGACGTCTCTGAAATAAGTAGAAGCTATAGTTTCCGGCTCTGTTTTTCGTTTTCAAACAAAAACACACAGCGAGAGGGTTTTTTTCTTGCTTTTTTCTCGTGTTCCCAATAAACGTCAATAAATGGTAACCGTGCGCTGGATTCAGAATCGTTTGGGATGCTTTGCGGTTCAGTCCTGACACAAATTCTTTAAACACCCGTTATTCTCTTAGGATCATATCAAAGATAAGTCCAATGATATGACCGAGTGTGCCAACGACAACGGACATGTACCATGGAAACACCCTGGAACCAAGGATCTTTTCTGGAAAGGAAAAAAGAATCCTCAATAGAGGTTTTGCACCATCACGTGCCCACGTCAATTATACAACTTGGGCTGCCTGTGGTTAGATGGCAGAGCAATAAAATCACTTTGCTCTCGGGAATTGAATTTTTTCTTATGTAAAACGATTGTATTGTTATTCCTGCGTTCTAACATGGCTGCCGTCACGTAATGGTGCAAAACCTCTATTATTTCTTCTGGTTGATATTTGTAGTTGTTGTTATAACAACAAGTTAATTAATTAGTTGTAGTGTTAGCAGTATAACAGTTTAATGGGAAGCATGGGTGGCGTAGCGGTGAATGCGACCCGAATTCGAGTCCCGCCGAGCTCGGTGTCGTAYGTGAGTAGAGTTGCATTGTTTGTTGGTTCTCTCCTGTGCTTCGAGGGTTTTACGGCTTAATTTCCTCCCTTTGTAAAAAAAAACTTCTAAATTTCAATTGGAGTCCAGTGGAAAAAGAGTCACTCGGTGGAATCCACTGTTTCTTCACATGACTCAAAATCCCTTGAGATATAACAAACAATGAAACAGCCACCATGCTGGTTGATCTAACAAAAGAAGCTAATGAGGAATGCTTTATTATCGTCAACCAACATRACGTCAATGTACCTCAAGCCAATGATCACGGTGGTAACCCTGTGGTGAAGGAAGCCATTTATACAAACTGGAACAGTAACGATTGAATAGTTACAGGTAACCAGCAAACATGACAACGGAACACGTGCACCGTACCCTTGCCACCATGAGTGCCGTTGTTCTTGTTTGACAGATCGATCGAGCCGCACAAAGTGAAGGAATGGGATGGTCTGAATGAATCGCCAAGAACGTGTGAAACAATTAACGTAAGCTAGATGTGCCAGGCTGTTCAGCTTAGTACATGAGCTTCGTAGAGTAAACCATTAAATAAACAAAAATATCCATAAACAAACAACAGGCCAGTATGGAAATATACATAGCATTTTACTTGGTCCATAAAACTGTACCTGTCTGTTACTAACAATCAAGTAAAGCAAAAGAAAATCATGGAATACGCCAGTTTCGCATTCGAATTCAATGAATACCGCTGTTTTTGAAGACCACAGACTCATTTAAAGTGCCTAGTATTATACCATTAGACCCGTAGCCCGAGTGGACTACGAGTCAATAGCCCATGAATAGCCAAAGTCCAAATGGGCTATATTGACTCGTAGACCATATGACGTCGACGGCGAAAGTTCTATTTGTTTTAGTATAAAGCTAGTAATAGGTCTAATAAATGAGACGAAAAATATTGAATTTAATCCAAATAAATTATTTTTGTGTTTGTTGGTTTTCAAAACCGCTACTTTTCGCTACTAGTGGTATATCACTAATAGACTACTAGTACCTCAGCCAATCAGAGTGCAGGGTTTGTGACTTACCATTAGTAGGTTTGTATAACTACTAATATGTATATTATGCATGGTTACTATTTTTCACGGGCCAAGTAAAATCACTTCCTTTTGGACTAAAAATGACTAGTGGTCACAAGATGGACATCAGTGGTGTGATGAATACAACAAGTGAATGAGAATGACTAGTGGTTACTAGTTGGGACTGTGTTGGTGTGATGAATACAACATGTGAATAAGAATAAATAGTGGTTACTAGTTGGGACTGTGTTGGTGTGTTGAATACAACAAGTGAATAAGAATAAATAGTGGTTACTAGTTGGGACTGTGTTGGTGTGATGAATACAACAAGTGAATAAGAATGACTAGTGGTTAGTAGTTGGGACTATGTTGGTGTGATGAATACAACAAGTGAATAAGAATTACTAGTGGTTACTAGTTGGGACTTTGTTGGTGTGATGAATACAACATGTGAATGAGAATTACTAGTGGTTACTAGTTGGGACTTTGTTGGTGTGTTGAATACAACAAGTAAATAAGAATGACTAGTGGTCACAGGTTGGAACATCAGTGGCATGATGAATGCAACAGGTGAATGTGATGACTACAACAAGAATTTTAAATAATATTTCAAAAACGAGTAAGAATGTTTCATTAGGGTTTCCAAACACGAGAAAACATTTGAAAGCACGAGGCCGTGGAAACCCTATTGAAACACTAGGTTCATCAGGTTTCAAAACCCATCCACGTAATCCGAAAAGTGCCCATCCATTGGTTGCTGAGCTTAATAATAGTAATAATAATAATAATAATAATAATAATAATAATAATAATATACATTATATGCTAAATCAAAGTTTATCAGAGTTTAGTTGTAAATGTTTCAACTGATGGAGAAGTTCTAATGTTATCAGGTATAGAGTTCCAGAGTTCAGCAGCTGCGTACGAGTAGGCCCGCTGGCCATAGGTGACGGTATTGATCTTGGGAAGATTAAGGAGTAATTTGTTAGAAGATCTAAGGCCCCTTCCACACTATGCCGGATAAATTTGAATCCAAATTTGGTTCCATTTCGAAAATTCATTTTCGGTGAAGAATTGTTCCGGATTCGCCCGGACTAGATTGGACGGTAGGCCTAACCGAATAAATAAAAATTCGGATTCAAATTTATCCGGCATAGTGTGGACGGGGCCTCAGACATCTTGTGAATTATTAATGAGTTTGAGAAGACATTTTAAACCTGACCGTAACGTTTTCGGACATTAGTCCTTTGAAGTTTAACGTGCCGGTATTCATTCATGACTTGTCAMATGCTTAGATTAATATGACACAAATTAAATCCAATTGATTTTTATTTTACAGCAGCAAATTTATACCTATATTTTATATGTATATACATGTCCCTTATTTATAAAGCCCATTATGATAGCTTCATCAATGTATAAGTTTGACAAAAAAAATCCCTTAGGATTCTATTATAATGCATTGAAAAAATCTAACAGACATTCATATATCAGTTAGCAACCAAGAAAGCTAACAAAACTGCGGCCGATAAGGATTATGGGTAAKTTTGTGTGTTTCCACTTTCAAGATAATATTGGTCGCAAAATCATTATTYTTAGGATGACGAAATTTCAGCTTGTGCAGTTGGCGACTAACATATGCATAGAATGGCGTAATTTTAGTTTTTCTTTCTCAGGCTATATAATATTTACAATTAAATATATATATATATATATATATATACATATGACTTGAAAATTATTTGCAATGTCGCAATACTGATGACGTTTTATTCATATGTAAATCCTGTAAAATACGTTGCTTGTCAGTTTTTTTCAGCTTACTTGTTTGCATAAAAATTTTTCCCTGCACTCCCTGCACTCAGAAGGAAGTCCAGTTCTGCGTGGCCTTACGTTATCTTCGTTTACTCGCTCTGGTTAGTTTGACAATTTTCCTCAGAAGTTCAGCATTTYTTTGTCTTTCAAGGACTTTCTCTTTGATCAATCTTTTCTCTTCTTTCTCTGCAGCTGCGACAAGTTCGTATGCTTTCCTTAGTATTGTTATTTTTGCAGCTTTCTCGTTGTTCATCAAAGATGGAACGCTTTCTCTCAGAGCATTAAAACGATTTCGCAGCTCGTTGCGTCGCTTTCGTTCCAAGTCGTTGTGCGAGATTCGTGTGTTTTCGCAGTCGCTGTCTGACGTCGAACTGTCTTCTTTCTTGTCTTTGCTTTTTTGTGATATTATTTTTGGTTTTAGCTGGGTAGTTTCGACATTCTTTACTAGAGGTTCAGGGTCATCTTGTTTAGTAGATATACACTTCCCTCGTATTAATTTCTTGCTTTCTTGTTTAGAACATGTCTGTATGGTTACAACATCTATTTCTTCCTCTGTTGAGAAGCAACATCAACGAAAAGAGCGTTAGAAGACTAAGATATTATTCATAAAAAACGAGATGAGAACTCTTACTATGAATAAAACGAGTAAGGAACTGAGACGTACTGAACTACACAAATTATCCTAACTTAAAACTACAGAATACCGACTCAAAAGATATATTAGGGTAGCCTGACGTCAAACGGTTGCATTGAACTTTACATGATCCGAACCTAATGGCAAAAAGAACACCCCATGCGGCTCATGTGAATTTCGTCGTTTAACCTTAATTATTCCTAATACCATCAAGTGACTGATTATGATTTGCTATGCGGATTCTCTATTGCGTTTGTTGAGTCAACCATTCTATTCAAATTAAAACCAGTCGGTAACTGAGCACTTCAGTGTCCAGACAGTCGTTGGCTGGTGGTAGGCTGGTCTGGCATACTCACATGTTTACCAGTAAATACAATTCCGGCAAGCCCACATACACACGGAAAACAGGCCATTGATTGATTGGATGAATAGTATTTATATTATTAGAGTGAAGGCATTTAACCCGTGAAATATAAAATACTAGTCAACGTGTAATAGTCAAATAGACACAAAAGAAAACAATGGAATTAAGGTCTACCAATGTGTATTAGTCTAATATCTATTTCACGGGTTAAATGCCTTCACTCTAGTCTCTTCCAATTCCCGTCATTATTTAGAATAAAAACAACTGTTAACTCACACATCGAATTGCAATTTAGCTGGTTGCTTTGATGGCAGTGAAGTTAAACGAAACACAATAGTGTCCCCGGCTTAATGATGTGACAATCAATACACAATCAATCCRCGCACCGTCAATGATCATAGTCTTCTCGAAAACATAATAAAATCCCGGCAATTCATATCAGTGGTTTTGATTGAAGTAAGACATCTGCTATACGATGCTTTTGGTCACATATAAAACAAAATAAAACTGATTAAAAAATTCGAATTCGAATAATATCAGTATACGAGAAAATGTGGTATGGACATTGAACTTAAGATTTCGTAGCAAAAAAAAACGATTTTTCAATTTAATCGATGAGCAGTTCTCTTCACATAACATCAATACGGCTTTTTCTTTTAGTTGGACAAAGCTACTTTTGGCAACAAAATGCTAGGATCGAACAAAAGACGAAACTGGAAAAAAAAGTGCGATTAAAATAAAAAACAAGAAAACGTGCACGAAAAAAAAAAAAAGAAAAAAAAAAAAAAAAAAAAAAAAGAAAAAAAAAAAAAAAAAAAAACATATTTTGTAAGGTTTTTTTTTTTTTTTTTTTTTTTAGTCTTAATACTAATTTCCGCACGATAGCGGGTGGGCTGGTTAGTTCCATTGTACATTGTAGCCTTAGTAAATGAATAACCTTATCAATATATGCTTTTTTAATTCCACAAAGTAATTGTGTGCGAAAGCCTACTTCGCGATCAGATGTTTTGTGAAGCATAAATTGTTTGGTAACAACTTCTCAATAGTAGATGAGGAATTCAACAAACTACTTTATTATGTCTTTAATTATATTTCAAGTTATTCGATATTTTCATTGAGAAAACGACAGCCGTTCATAAAAAGATAAAAATTGAAAATTAAGTGTCAATGTTTTATTTTGATTCTTATAATGGACTCCCAATATTTATAATTTTGATTGTGTACAGCATTTCTTCAAAATAGCGAAAAACATACCACATTTTCTATTGTTTTGGATTTTTTAATGTATTCTGTGTTTTAAAATATTATTGAATGGAGAACATTATGAAATTAGCCATATAAGAGAAAATTCCATTCCTTAAAACTATCAAACTAATTTGTAGTTTTTGTCTACGTTTACCGGCTTTTTCGAAAGCAGATTTTTTATCCATTGAGTCTATGATTTTTTTGATTTTTTCATCAGAAAAACTTTGGATTAATCTGAAACTGCATGAAGCTGTCTATAAATAAATAGCAAATCACATTAACAAAAATAAAATTATAACTTAACTTTTTAAACTTAAAAAAAGTTTTGTTGATATGACTACTGACCTGAATCGGATATGTCTTGGAATGGACTTGAAGCGATGTTTTCGTCATGTCTATCACTGCCATCATCGTCTTCGTGTGATTCAAGTAACGAGAATGAAAAAAACTCCTCACTCTCCACAAATGTGTTGGCTATCGGCTGTTCAAATGCTATGGGAGTTGAATTAAGATGGAAACGTACATCTATATCCATAGCGGAGTCGGGTCTTTTAGCTCGTTGACTGGCCTCATTCCACATAATGTCGTTCAAAATAGCCGGCGACTCAGATCTCCCGTAGCTATTTGCTCTCGTGTTTGAAAACAGCTCGTCAGGAAGCTCGTCACGAATACTTGATAAGTGTGTAATGACTTCCTTGTCGCTTGAAGCTGTATCAACTGGAGACAAAGGAGGAGTTGCAAATGTAAGTCCGTTCCAAACCGTACTCTCTGAACAAGGGAAGAACAAGACTTCTTCATCAGGAAGATAAGTAGGCGAGTCACCTAGTAAGGTAACTTTCTTCAAATCCATTATTAAAAGCGTTTCTTCACAGTTCAGTTGTTCTAGTCTCTACGCGTCTATGTGTCTAATATATCATATATGTACTACAACCCTGCACTAGTCGTAGCTTAAATGACCCTATGTCCTTTTAAAGCCCGGTCTTTATATTCTTAAAGAAATGCAAATATTCCTTTATGCGTCAGTAGATGAATGCCTACGCTAAAAAAGCGTACAAAAAGAACAATTGCTCTTTTTACCCTATTCGTCAGATAAACACGACTTTGTACGCAGTAAAGAATACAAGTTGTACTCTTTAGAGCTTAACTTCCAAACTTATTGCTATAAATCTCCAAAGGAGTATTTAAAATGCTCTTAGTTGACGAGCACGTTGTCTACATGCAAGGTTCTACGGTAATTATTTCGTTATTTACTTAAAGAAGAACACAGCACCTGTATATACCTCCCGGCACTACTATCCCTTCAATAGAATACCTGCGAGCTTTATCCCCGCCCATGCATGCAGTGCCCGCAAACAATCTACAATCACAGGCTCATACTTCAGTTTATTTCTATGAAAAGTCTTCAAGTTTGGTGAAAGTTCATCCGAAAGGACTGAAGTCATGCTTTGCGTCCGGATGATGGCAGAGTTGATTTACTTGGCTAAATAGTTAATTTTTTTTTTTTTTTTCCAGCGGAATCAAAAGGAATTCGAATCATCAATATATATAATACCTGCTTGCCAACATATTGAAACAACGTGCAACAAAAAAACAAAATGTTCTATAATTTCGCTAATGCAAGAAAAAAATCATAGTTTTAGCAATAAAAACTACTTCTAGCACGAGCTTTTTTGACTGCGTTTTTTTCAAAAACCGAAAAAAGAGGACTGAAGAAAGAATTTTAATGACAAACTTTGCAAAACTGTAGAATATTTTGCTTATTTAAATTTGCCTTCATTAAAATCTGACCGTTGCTGTTTAATGACAGACAAAACTGAACAAAAGGGAGCAGGTAGAGGTCGAACTTCATTCAAGTTTGGACTTAGAAATGGATAATAAGCCATAAAACGTCAGTAAGATCTCGGAGAATTGAAAAATGCAAGCTACTCTGATGACTCTTGGAAAGAAGGTCACTTTTGGTAACCAGTATATGCTTGAAAATCTCAAATAATTTTAAAAACTACTGAAACATGTCAGAGCTGCGAGAAACAGCTGCAGATACCACACAAAAAACAAAACTCAATTGTTTAGCATATGTGTTAAAATCATTTCAAGTTTTTAAATATTACAAGTATGCACTTAAAAACCTGTATTATTCACTTTAAAAATAAAGTATAAAAGTAAAAGGGAGATAGGTGAAGAGGAAAAATTGAATAGACTCTCAAAGCAAAAAGAGCTCAGTAGCAACATTAATATGATAATAATAACGAAAACAATAAAGCCCCCAAAAGTTAAATTCATTGTTGTAGATGTGCTTCGATGAATTTTTAAAAACCCAATTGCATGYTCGATCTTTACCCTAATAGACCGTAAAATCCTATTAGCGTTTCGTTGCCGTTGGTTTCACACAACCGTCCTACGCAGGGGCTTTATCAACGGTAAAGTAGCGGGATATCCTCCATCAGCAGCAAACCTCGCTCCTCTTGGCAATGCAAATTGTCCTATGCCCAACTGTGGAATCATCCCATAGGTGTGCGAGTCATTCAGATGACTTGGAAATCTTAAAATATACAATAGTTCGCACCATCTCCACCACACCGGTCTTCGAATTGGTCTTCACAAACTCAAACTTCAAATTCCTCGTTACACTCTAGTCCGCAGCCAATGGTTGTAACAAAGAAAACTCCAGTACACAARTACACAGAATTACAATTAAAAACTGAACTTTTTGAGTTTTAGTATGCTTACTTTTGGAGTTTATATGCTAATCCTTCAATATAAATACTCCCCCGTTCCCAATCCCTTGGGTTCTTTTAAGGCCGGTTTAGACGGTACGATTTTCGCCAACAACTATCGTATACAACACGCTCGCGTTTGTCGTAGGCGAGTTAAAGGCTTGGTTTACACGCTACGTCTGGAGTTGTAGGATGGCGCGTTGTGCCATAAGTTGGAAAACAATAAATAAATAAATACAATTTTAAAATGTTGTATATCTTTATGATTGTCAGTCAGAAATAATGTTTTTAGAATTTCTCCTTGTCAATGAGTTTTTTTGAGACGATAACTGTACCTTTTTTCGTCCACTAGAATTTGAAATTCCTGCAGTCAATAGCGCAGCGCAACCGTGACGTCATAAAAACGAAGACAAAGGCGAAATTCGGATAAACAAACTTACGAGTTTACTTTCAGCAGATAATTTTCACAGCCGATCGCAGTTGATCTTAGTTTACATGGGTTATATGTAACTTTAAGTAAAAATAATAAAATCGGTTTGTATAATCCTCGTAGTGGTTAAACAGAATGCAATGTTTGTCAGAATCTTTAAGCTATTTTTAGAATCAGTGCGCTGCGCCATTATAATATATATTGAACAATGGATTTTGAAACTTTTCAGAAAAATCGATCGAATAAAGATCAAGCTATTTTGAATGAACGTACGAGAAATAGGTATATTTGATATATATGATATAGCTGACCAAACAAGCAAATAAAATCAAAATTTAGCGGCCTAATCTTTGAGTACAAAGCAGGTTATTCGATATGTATGAAAGAATCAAAATGAACTGTCAGTATTAGCCAAACATACCTTTGTCCTATATTTTCAATTTCAAACAGTGCTAATACATCTTTCGACAAAAAAAAAGAAAAAAAAGAAAGAAAGAAAGGACTTGCGGGAAAAGGAAGGCGTTGCGCAAAAAAGCCATGTAATGTATTAGTGTGTTCTTTTTTTATTCAAATACTACTTTAATTGATTTTATATCATATCAAACTTATGGTTTTGTTCTCATTCACTTAACTCGAACAATRAATTCCAATTCAGCCGGAATTCCGCTAAATCGGAAAACCCTACTTGAATGATTTGCTAATGAATATATATGAATATATTTACTAGTATTGAATAGTAACAGAAAATAACAATATGTAGATGATGGCTAGTAAACACTAGCGTGGACTGCGTCGGTGTTTCTAATGAAACAGTTATCGTAGATTGATAAGTTTTACACCGTAGTGAAAATAGGAACTGACGTTTCGGACGTTAGTCCTTCGTCGGAGTCAATATAAAGTAAGAGTGAGAGAGATGTTTATATAGTAGAGGAGA